TACTTTTGATGAATTGAAGAGCTTAACATATGTTAACATCTCTTATAATCAGTTAGAGGGCCCTATCCCGCCTATTAAAGCTTTCCTTCTTGCCCCATTTGATGCTCTTAAAAACAATAAAGGCCTCTGCGGCAATGCCATCGGCCTCCTGCATTGTGTCTCTGAAGGTCAGAAGAAAAGCACCAGCGGACTAGTGGTTTTAATCATTACGCCAGTTTTGGGTGTTCTATCCCTGTTATTTATCTTGGTGGGAGTGTTTACTTCTTATTCGCTGCAAAATCTGAGATAAAAGAGTGCCAACTTCAAGATATTTTTGCCATATGGGGATATGATGGGAAAATCCTCTATGAAAACATTCTTGAAGCTACGGAGCAATTCAACTCCAACTATTGCATTGGCTTAAGAGGATATGGGAATATTTACAAAGCTGCTTTGACAACAGGCCGAGGATTTGCAATGAAGAAACTTAACCCATCAGATGACAATCAATCGATCAATTTGCGAGCATTTGAAAGTGAGATTCATGCTTTAGCGGAAAGACGACATCATAACATTGTCAAATTGTATGGTTTTTGTTCTAATGCAGAGTATTCATTCTTAATCTATGAGTTTGTAGAAAGGTGGAGCTTGAGGACAATTTTGAGCAACCCAGAAGAAGCGGCAGAATTGGATTGGGATAAGAGATTGAACATTGCTGAAGGGTTAGTGAGTGCTTTATCTTACATGCGCCATGATTGTCCTTCACCAATAATCCATTGTGAAATTTCTAGCAACAATGTTTTGTTAGATTTGGATTATGAAGCTCATGTCTAGGACTTCAGAAGTGAAATAGGTCATTTAATAATGTTAGTTCTTTCTCCACATCTTTCTTCATTTATGTCTCCTCTGGTTTACTGTTATTGACCCATTTGATATTCCATGCTGATCACCAGTTGTTCGTTCCGTTTCTGCATTTAATAATTTGTTTGTTATAGCAGTAGATTAAGTAATAATGTCACTAAAACGCACTTATACCGGCCAGCAACATTAGCTGTACCAATTTGCAAAGACTATTCAAGTCAAGACTAAAAATCTGTAAGAATGTGTGGCTGTATGCATAATGAATGTGTTCTGTCCTACAAGAAGACTCAAACTAGAAAGGTTGACGTGAACTGAAATTGAAAGATCTAGGTGCTATAACTATAACTGACACTGAAAAGGAGACTTAAGGTCACCCTAATGGGCTCAACCCGGCTATAATGGCTAAATAAATTTGCAAAAACTATTAAAGTCAAGATAAAGAAATCCATAAGAATTACATCTTTAAAACATTATTTGCTTCAAACTTAAATCCTTTAATGGATATTCTTAACCCAATAACAATGGCTCAAGACCAGATTTGCAAAGGCTATTCAAGTCAAGGCTAAGAAATTTGTAATAATATGCGGTTGTATTTACAATGCTTAATAAATGTGTTCTGTCCTACAAGAAGACTTAAGCTAGAAAGGTTGATGTAAACTGAAATTGAAAGATCTAGGCGTAATAACTATAACTGGCATTGAAAAGGAGATTTAAGGTCACTCTAATGGACTCAACCCGGCTACAATGGCTAAATAAATTTGCAAAAACTATTCAAGTTAAGATAAAGAAATCCACAAAAATTACATCTTTAAAACCTTGTTCGCTTCAAACTTAAATCCTTTAATAGAAATTCTAAAGCCAGTAACAATGGCTCAAGACCAGATTTGCAAAGATTATTCAAGTCAAGACTAAGAAATCTGTAAGAACGTGTGGCTATATACATAATGCTTAATAAATGTGTTCTGTCCTACAAGAAGATTCAAGCTAGAAAGCTTGATGTAAATTGAAATTGAAAGATCTAGGCGCAATAACTATAACTGACATTGAAAGGAGACTTAAGGTCACTCTAATGGACTCAACCCAGCTACAATGGCTAAATAAATTTGCAAAAACTATTCAAGTCACAATAAAGAAATCCATAAGAATTACATCTTTAAGACCTTATTTGCTTCAAACTTAAATCCTTTAATAGAAATTCTAAACTCGGTAACAATGTCTCAAGACCATATTTGCAAAGACTATTCAAGTCAAGACTAAGAAATTTGTAAGAATGTGTGGCTGTATGCATAGTGCTTAATAAATGTGTTCTATCCTCCAAGAAGACTTAAGCTAGAAGGTTGACATAAACTGAAATTGAAAGATCTATACACATTAACTATAACTGACATTGAAAAGGAGCTTAGGGTCACTCTAATGGACTCAACTTGGCTACAATGACTATATAAATTTGCAAAAACTATTATGGTCAAGATAAAGAAATCCACAAGAATCACATCTTTAAGACTTTATTATTTGCTTCAAATTTAAATCCTTTGATAGAAATTCTAAACCTAGTAACAATGGCTCAAGACCAAATTTGCATAGACTACTCAAGTCAAGATTAAGAAATTCATAACTTCATTGTGAGCGGATTCACTCATGAACATATTTGTCAGTAACAATGGCTCAAAACCAACTTCCAAGAAGCTTGATGGTGCGGACAGTTGGAAAATGTTAGTGACCATTTTGCTGCCCTAATCCCAGTGAGAAAAACTGCTTCATAGCTTAACTTATGGTACCAGCTCTGGTTTTCTTTCCCTCATGAACATATTTGTCAAATATTTTCCAAGGTCATTTCCTATGGGGGAAGGAGGTAGAACTTAGAATTTTCGGAGACCTTACTGAAATTTTAGTTAGTTGGTGTTTGTACTCTCTGTTTTCCTCATACGATATCCGCTTGGTAATAGTTGTCTAGAATTTTCCCTTTTAACAATATTTGACTCAATCAATCACACCATACATCCTAGGGATGTGTAAGCCCTGTTTGAATATTTTTCCTACTTAAAAACACAAATCTCGTGCCAAGATTTTGTGATAACCAAGGATGTGGGCAGAGTCAAACCACTGTCGGGGAAATTAATTGATTGGTCAGTTTTAATTAGTTTGGTCAGTCAATCGATTGCAGAATCGTTCTCATTGCTCATTGGTCTGGCCGTTTTGACTGGATAATCTGATCTAGTTTTTTTTTTTATAAGAGTAATGGTTAGAAAGTTAGTTTTGAATTAGTTGTTAATAATTGGGGATTCGATCCCTAAACTGGATAAACATTCCACCTCCTCAAATGAGAGGGCGCACTGCCATTGAGCTGCTGTTGGTGGAGTTCACGACGGTGATAGAGCTCGAGGCTCCAATCACCTCACCCAAACACTTAAGACTTGAGATCGAACCATTGGGTCTAAAAGACCCGGTTCAATCTGATCTAATCTTGAAAACACTTATAATGTGTGATTATCTGTTAGATAAATCAATATACATTCACTTGTTTTGTTTATGAATACTTTATATTATATGTGAAAGAACAGTATAGCTAATTACTATTTTAAGATTTGCAACAAGAGTTATGCTTGCAACTCGTAAAACATACTAATTTCTCAATATCCGTGTATTAATTTAATGCCACATTATTTTTTTTTTTTGATATAAATAGGCGCCTGTTTTATTGAAAAATATAATACCAGGGAGTATTACAGAAAATCACATTGACAGCTTATCCCTAGATACAAAAGGCGCAAGGTAATCTGGCATCTCATTTCTGAAAAACTCATCTCCCTCAGCCCGTAGTGCTCTCTTAGCTAACTCATGAGCCACAGCATTACCAGTCCGACGCACATGTTTGACTCGGCAGTGCAGGAAAGAGGACATCAATAGCTTACAATCTGATAAGACATTTCCCAGGTCTGAATTTAAGGCAACATTGTTCGACAGTGCAGTTACAATACTGGCACAATCCGTCTCAATAATAATTCTCCCAAGATTTAACTCTTGAGCCCACTGCATTGCACGCCGGATACTACATGCTTCTACGATTTCTGCAGCTGCAACGTCCCGCCCCTGACAGGCCATGGTTGCCAGAACTTCTCCGCAATGATCCCGAGCCACTGCACCCATACCAAACACCCTACGTTGTTCTGCTACTGCGCCATCGACATTGATCTTGATGGTCTGTTCGTCAGGAGGCTTCCACTTCGTCTCGCCATGCATTTGGACAACTCCAGATCCCCGCCCCATTGATTGCTGCGCTCGCTGATAATTCATCAAGTAATTCACGCCTCCTTCAATAATTTGTTGAGGGTGTGCCCTTCTGCCATTCCAATGAGCCTCATTTCGAGAGCTCCAAGTCCTCCAGCTTAAAATACATAGAAGCTCCAACTGCTCCTTTCCCAGTTCAGTACACATAGCATCAAAGAAGTCTGCAAAAGAGCTAGAGGGGAACTCTGAAACTCGAAGACTGAGGGGGCTTCCATGCCACACCGCTCGAGCGACGGAGCAAAACAAAAGACAGTGTGCCACAGATTCCATATCAGAGCCACACACAGGGCATTCCAACTCCACTGGTATATGCTTCCTCTGCAGATTATCCCTGGTAGGAAGTACATTACGATAGGCACTCCAAATGAAAAATTTTATCTTACCCGGAATACTTAGGTTCCAGACTTTATTGCCACATTATTATGTAACTTATACAATTACAAAAATTTAATTTTACAGTATGGATAGTACGGATTAATTAAAGTGAATGGATAATAACAAAGTTAAAATAAAAAAAATATTTATTTATTTTGAAAAATAAAAAAATAATAATTAATTTAAGATAAATTTAAAATTAAAAAGTGATCGTGATTTTAAGATAGAGGAAGTATTATATTTGCTCTATTGGAATATCATTATATAATTTTTTTGGTATTAATCTCTTAATATCCAGAAAATACATTGGGTTCTAATTAATTCAAAGTTGGGTTGAATCAGACCCCATATAAGGGTGAAGATCTCTTAGGGCCTGTTTTTTTATTCACAAAACTCGAATTCGAGATTTTGTTTAAAAGGAATCGAATTTCTTCCACTCGAATTAACAGGTCGTTGATGAAATATCATTATATATTCATAAAGTGTTAGTAAGTTGTGAGCTCTCGAATTTTATTAGGAATTCATTACTTTCCTATTACATTATCCCTTTTATCTTTAATTGAATTAACCTAGCCATTGTTATTGATAACCTATTAAATTTCAAAAATAAAATGAAAATTTGAAAATTAAGTGTGAAAAATGTGAAAATAAAGAGTAGTTCCTCATTTAAATTGTAAAATAAGATAAGTTACTTAAAACATGATATGTGCAAAGATACTTAAGAGTACAATTAGAAGTAAAAAAAGATACGTATGCATCTCAAAATCTTTTATATAAAACACAATTGCATATTTTAAAATTGGAAATTTAATTCAACTTGTTTGTTGTTTTCGGTCTTAATTGAGAGACTTGAGAAAGTAAAAGGATAAAATAGCAACATTTGAAAACTTGAGGACTCAATTAAGTAAATTAGGAATGCACGTGCTTAATTGCAACGAATTTAATATAATTAAATTTTAATTTCCCAATATAAGAATTAACATTTAATAAAATAAATTTTAAATTTTTAAATTTGATTTTAATTAAATAAAATGATTTTGTTTAATATTGTGATTTTAAATTTTTTAAATGGAAACTAATAAGTATTTTTTTTATTTTTATATTATTATTAAAAAAATAAATTTTTACTTTAAAAAT